TTCCCAAGGGTGGCACAAGAAGGCAAAGTTAAAGTATTATAACGAAATGTGCAGACATGGAGTTCAAAAACCATACATCCAGCATTTCACAGGAAAGAAAGAATTCAAGCTTCAAATTGCAATACTGAAGGATTGTATGGGCAAAATACCAAATGACATAAGAAATATCAAAAGCAGCACCATGATAAATGCAGGATTTGATTGAAATTGCCGAGGATTTAATTTTGTTTGGATCCACCACCCCTGGAAGCAGCAGTCAAGAATCGAATGACATATTGAAGTGGCCAAATCTGCTGCAAATGACCTCTTTAAAGTGTTACTAAACAAAGATGTTACCTCCAGGATTAAGGTATGCCATCCTATTTTCAGTTGTCTCACATGCATGCAAAAAAAAAAGGTGGACAACAAATAAGAAAGACTGAAGAAGAATTGACACCTCTGAATTATCAGTGTTGGTGAGGAATATTAAATATACCATGGATTTCCAAAAGAATGAAAATATCTCTACTGGAAGAACAACAGCCAGAACGCTACTTAGATGGTCAAACTTCATGTCACGTACTTTGGACAAGTTATCAGGAGGAACCAGTCCGTGAAGAAGCAGATCATGCTTGGTAAAGTAGAGAGTCCACAAAAAAGAGAAAGACCCTCAATGAGATGGATGAACACAGGGGCTACAACAATGGACTCAAACAGGATGTTTGTGAGGATGGCACAGGACTGAGCAGTATTTCATTCTGTTGTCCATGGGGTTGCTATGAGTCGGAACTGATTAGACCGCACCTAAAAGAGTCCTAATGTGGTGCTATGGGTTAATGTGCTGGACTGCAAAGTCAATTGAACTGCAAGGTCAGCTGTTCAAGCTCACCAGCCACTACTCAGAAACCCTATACAGTGTTGAAACCAACTCAACAGCACATACCTACAACAAAAGCATGTTCATGTCTGTAAAACTGTCTTTTTAAAATGCAAATAGGTTGAGGGCTCTCAGAGCTATTGAAAATTTACACATCAGTGGAAATTAATTTACTCAAATTTTTGTTCGGAAATACTACAAGAGACACGACCTTATTGGTCAGAAGAACACGGGACTCTTAGGAATAAAGGCAGGCTCTGGCCAGGTGTCAGAGCACAAAAGCATGATAGGCTGTACCTTAAACTACTTTCCTTAGTTTTGAAGTTGTGAGTCAAAAGAGAGGGAAAGAATCAGCCCAAGGAAAAGAGGGATAGAATATCTAAGTTATCAAGACTGGCCAAGGATACATACATTATTGTTTCCTTTAACAGGTTTTGTAAGATACAATAATAGCCTGTCTGAATTGCAACTTGAAGGAAATGTGTTTTAATAAGCCCCAGATTCCACAACTCATGTACTATAAACTGAGACAGGCGTGGTGTATGGTTCTGTAATGTAAAAGCTTTTCTCTACTTTTTTTTAAATCACATAATTTTAACCTTAAAGTGCCACCTTTACATTTTTTTTGGCAACTCTACATACTAATTACAGGAACTCTGGTAGCATAGATTACCAATCAGGCTGCTAATCTCACGGTCAGCAGTTCAAAACTACCAGCTGTTCTGCAAGTGAAAGATGAGGCTTTCTACTCCCATAAAGATTCATAGCCTCGGAAACCCTGCACAGGGTTACTATGATTTGGAACCGACTCCATGGCACATAACCACAACATAGTAATTAAGGAGCTCTGGTAGCATAGTGTTTACGCATCGGGCTGCTAATCTCACGGTCAGCAGTTCAAAACTACTAGCTGTTCGCAGGAAAAAGATGAGGCTTTCTGCTCCCATATTTACAGCCTTGGACTGGCTAAAGCAGTCTGGAAACCCTGTACAGGGTCGCTACGAGTCGGAACTGACTCCATGGCACATAACAAGAAAAACAACAACATATTAATCACATAGAATATTACTTACATAATAAATGTATTCAAATGGATGCTTATAAAATTAATTTATTTTAAAAGGAAAATTTTACACTCTAGTATTGACACCAAACAAACACACTATACATTGATATACCTTAAATACATCATTCTTAAAATTAAAACTGTTCAACCCTGTTCTAACTAAAATCATCTCCTGTATAACCAGTGGCAAATGTGGCCCATATTTTCAGAAATACTTTCAACTCCACCTTGCCATTCATTTTACAAGCAATGAAACAGAAGACCAGAAAGTAAGGTCACACTGAGGTAGGGTCAGTCATCTCTTTGTCATTAAAAAACCTTCACAGCTTTTCACACACCTGAAAAACAACAACTCTTATATATCTATAAGGATCTCTGGTAGTGTAGTGGTTATGAATTGGGCTGCAAACCGCAGGTCAGCAGTTCAAAACTACCAACTGTTCCTCGGGAGAAA